ATTAGAATAAAGTATTAGGCTACAACTCTAATTATTATTATTAAAGATATACTAAAAGAGATTTAGTGGGCAAGAAATACTCACCCTTACTGATTATTTTCAGGTAATGAAAGATAAGAAATTGAGACAAATGATCCATTCTAGGGTCATACTCATCAAGGAGTTGTAGGAAAGGAACTGCTCGGATATAATAAAGTTTTATGAAATAGATGTATAAATCTTTAATGTATTTTCATTCATTTTAAAAGAGAAATCTTGTGTTAAGAATATATTTGTATATTTCTGAAGAAATATTGTAAATTCGTCAAATTTTCTAATTCGTGTTTCCATACTGTAACATTTATAAAAAGTATACAAATTTTGATAATTATGTTTTAATAATATTAGTGTTAAATATAAATTAATTTCAATATGAAAGAGGGATGTTACAGCTATAGCGAGACATATCTCGCTACAACGAGAAATTCTGCAACTCATATACCTAAAATTCTCCTAATTTCAAATATGCATTAACAATTGACCTACAATAGAAAAATAATAAATAGCAACATAAGGGTGTTACACCCGCAACCCCCTTTTTCCCTTGCTCGTAACCTTTTTGTGAGAAAAGTAATTTTTAGATTTAATTTCTCTTTTGAAATGTCTGATATTAAAATCTATTATTGCGAATATAATAATGGTCTAAAGTGTCTTCAACCGTATCAAATTGTTTAAAACTTTGGAATTTCCTCATAATTTCATCTCTAGCTTCATCAGAGATTGTAACAAGAGGATCATTCAATGGATAATAAATAGGATTAGTCTGAGTGTGATGATTAGGAAATAATGGTTTAACTTTATGAGAATTCTTCCACCAAGGTTTTCCTGATTCAATTCCTAGAGGATAAACTAGAGCATGATGTATGATGAAATTTGAATGATGTGGACTGCTCCCACTTACCTTCGTAGCACTTCTAATTTGTCCCAAAGGCTCAAATGCATGTGACAGGTTCACAACCTTTATTTTGTCAATAAAACCATGGTCTGTTGAAGCACCAACAACAAGTTTCTTTTTATTGTGGAAATATAGAATGATAGAGACATTTTCATGCTAGAAATATAGAATCAATCTACTGAAATTTTTTTAAAAAAAATCTTATACAGACCTCAAATTGATGATTATCATGAACAGTATCAATTGTCTTTCCTTTGTTACTATTATTAACTTTTTTGCCAATTACCACTACATCCTTAAGAAAAACATAGAGAGCAGAAATAGATACACTCATAGAAACATTCATACAACAAAAACAAATAAGAAAGCAGGAAAAACATATCAAAGGAAACAATAGTACTTGTCTAGCTTTCAAACTAAAAAAAAAAAAAAAAACCAGACCTATTTTACTCTAATTATACAAAGGAGAAATCAATGATATTCCTTATTTTGACTGCACTAGCATCCCTATTTGACTGTGTCAATGTGATCCACTTGAAATATAAATACAACAAGTTATTTTATATTTGAATTCCAACTAAATTAAATGGGATCATGATTAAATATTAGCCTCTAATATCTGAACATATTGGTAGCTTCACAAAAACAAAGAGTATTATGCATGGAATCTCCTTAAACAAATCCCCCCTCCATTTTGAAAAATTACACAAACTCCCCTAACAGTAAAATCATACCTTTGTAAACCTCCTTTGATGTTTATTTATTTTTCACAAACACAATGTTTTATTCAAGGTAAGTGAGAGTGATTTAATCAAAAACATAATTCTACCAGAGAAAACTCCAAAAGAAAATGCTCAAATCCAAAACTTCAAACGCAATGGAGAAAGGCCAAAATGAAATCAATACTATGATGCAATTTTTCAAAATAGAAGACCTATTATAAATTAGGATTCAAGATATTTTTGTTTTTTCTGACTCTAGCAACAATTGTAGTGTATTAGACCATTAGCATTGAAAAAGTTTAGGTTCAAGTTATATATTTTATTCAATGGATCAATTTATAGTTTGTATTTCTTTTACTCTAATTCTACCTTTTTAACAAATAATGATTCTCCAATTAACATATTTTAATATCAGATATTTCAAAAGAGAAATTAGTTATGAAAATTGCTTTTGCCAAAGAAAGGTTGCGAGCAAAGGGAAAGGAGTTGTGGAGATGAGAACGAGAGGAAAACGAGACGAAAAAGTTTAGGTTCAAGTTATATATTTTATTCAATGGATCAATTTATAGTTTGTATTTCTTTTACTCTAATTCCTTTTTAACAAATAATGATGCTCAAATTAACAAATTTTAATATTAGATATTTCAAAAGAGAAATTAATTATGGAAATTGCTTTTGCCAAAAAAAGACTACGAGCAAGGGAAAGGAGTTGTGGAGATAAGAATGAGGGGAGAACGAGATGAAAATGTTTAGGTTCAAGTTATATATTTTATTCAGTGGATCAATTTATTGTTTGTATTTCCTTTACTCTAATTCTACCTTTTTAACAAATAATGATGCTCTAATTCACGGATTTTAATATCAGATATTTCAAAAGAGAAATTACTTATGGAAATTGCTTTTGCCAAAAAAAGGCTGCGAGCAAAGGGAAAGGAGCTGTGGAGATGAGAACGAGATGAAAAAGTTTAGGTTCAAGTTATATATTTTATTTAATTGATCAATTTATAGTTTGTATTTGTTTTACTCTAATTCTACTTTTTTAACAAATAATGATTCTCCAATTAACGGATTTTAATATCAGATATTTCAAAAGAGAAATTACTTATAGAAATTGCTTTTGCCAAAAAAAAAAAAGACTGTGAACAAGGGGAAAGGAGCTGTGGAGATAAGAATGAGAGTAGAGAAGGAAGACTTCAAGGGGAAAAAGGACAATAAGAGATAACACAGGGCTTTGCGAGGGGAGGCGTGCTAAAGGAAAGATGCGGGAAGAGAAGACAGGGTTGGTGGGTTAAGGGAAAAGGATGGGGAGTTGCGGGAGGAAGAAGGAGAGTGGAAGGGGAAAGGGGAAAGTTTCACCATTTTTCAATAATTTTTTTAATATAAAAAGTCCATGTAAAATTAAATAAACGACGTTAAGTCACTTTAACACCATGTAGGATGTCTTTTAAGGTTTAGGATTTAGGATTGATCTGTTAGGTTATGCAACAGAGCTAACAGAAATGACTAACATGAAAAAAATAATAATACTCTGAGAACGAAAATAAATAAATAAAAGTTAAAGGATGAAAACAAATTTTACTTTAAAATTAAAATCCGAAAATAGTAATTTTGCCTATATAATAAAATCAAGTTTTTATTCTAGAAAGTATAGATTTCTTTTTACTTTTTACTTTGTTTATGATAAAAAAAATTTAAGATTTTTATTATCTTTTATGTTTTTATGATATATGATTTTTATAGAATTTAGTAATATTTAGACTTAATTTTACTTTTAGTTGTCGTATTTTATTTCATATATAATTTTAATCTCTTCAGTTATAATTTTTCATAATTAGTTCTTATAATTCTTGAAATTTATTTTCTCATTCTAAAGTTTTATCCAATCAATAACAAAAGTATAATATATCATTAATTTATTCAAATTTACAAGAAAAAGAAGCATATATATGTGTGTGTGAAATTTAGACACTTACATCATTTAATAACTTTTTATAAAATGGAAAATTGACCTGTCCAACTATTAAATTATTTTATATTATTATTATGATTATATATATATATATATATATATATATTAAATATCATATAATTTAAATATTTAATTTTAAAATTTGATATTTACTCATATTTTAAAAATATATTATTCATTAAAATGCAATCAAGCATCTATTAATTTTATTTTTGTATGAAATTTTATAAAATTGATCTACTTATAAGAATATTCTAACTATCGGTTGGATAGATCAGTTGATTTTGCATTCTGTGAAAAATTATTAAATGATATGAATGTTGAAGTTTAACAAAATTACAAATAATTTGAACAATTGAGAAAAAGAAAAGGTTAAATACTAATAATTAAAACTTAAAATACCAAAATTTCACATAAGTTAAAAATTATAATTAAGCCTGATTTTAATATTCATTTAAAAAATTCTCAAATAGTTATTATAAATGTTCTCTCTTTTGTTAATTTTCTTTTTCTCATCTCAAATCTTAACTATTTATATTCTTAAACTTTCTTTTATTTTTAAGCATTTACTCTTTCCTTTCTAAAACTGAATAAATAATAAAATAAATTTAAGAGATCTTTTAAATAATTATTTTGAGAAAGAAAGTTGTTGATAAATTTACCCGTTCTCTTTTGTGCTAGTAGGCTTAATCCAATGTGTTATTGGCCTTAAGGGTCAGCGCTGCAACATTTCTAGAAGCGCTTTAAGATAATTTGAGGCATGCTTTTCTTTCGAGTCTTGGAACAGTTCACCAAATAATAAAAAAGAAACAAGAGATGGCAAAATAAAAATGTCAAGATACAAGCTTGGTATGGCTGTTCTTCAATGCAGCAAGCATCCTTATGTACTCACTGAAAAGATGTCTTGAAATTTTGGTGCAATGTCCATATTTCCAATGTCAACATCCTACACCAGTGGAACAGAAAAGAAAATGGAGGGAATTGAGGGTAGGGACTTTATTAATTGGATCAGCTACCAAACCTTAAAGGGAACCAGGCAATGATACCACCCTATAAAAGTCAAAACTTAGGTGGAATTCGTTAAGTACTTTTGGTGTTATTTTTCAATCAAAATTAAAATTTCATCTTTATTAGGGATCCACTTTTAAGGTTGTCGCGAATTACCGAAGTGGAACTCTAATGATTGAAAAATAGTATGAAAAAAAAAAAAAAACTAAGGTATTTAACCTGAGTTTTGTCTTACAAGGAAAGACAGGCCCTGGATGAATTTTTTACAAACAAAATTTTGTTCCAACAGCTCTCTATTTAAATCCCAATATAAGGCATGACCACCTGACTCAGTTGAAACCTAGCTAGTGGTTCAAAAACAAGAAATCTAGTCTTGTACAACAGTCGTCTGAAGAGGCAGAGAACTTTCAACTTCTTTTGCGGCATTGGAGTGCACTTCTGCAACTACCTTGGACAAACCAAACATCTGAAATTGATCCAAACCACACTATATCAGCAAATGATAGAAGGTGATGTAAATAATTTATCTCAAGAAATTTAAGGGACTCTTCGGTTTAAAATTGTTTTCAGTTTTCACTTTTAATTGCAAAATTGTCGCCTTATTTTCATTTTATTTCCTGTTTTCAAATATTTGTACAAAAAACATTGAAAATAAAGTAACAATTTTGTAATTGAAAGAAAAAATTAAAAATAGAAAAAGAAAACATTTTTTGAAACCAAACAGCTCCTTAGGTACCAACCTTCTGAATTGTTTTTTGGAAGCAAGTTTTGTGTTCGTCCATAGACGCATGAATAAACTCATCAATGTGATCCTTCAAATCTTCCAAGAAAGCAGCTTCCTCTTTCTTCTTCTTCCTACATGAAGTAGCAGATGGGGCAGGTGCAGCAGACGAAGTCTGCTTTTCAGGTTGGCTTTTCTGAGGGTCCATACTCTCCAAGACTCCAATAGCTAAAACAATTTACACCACAAACTCAATTATCATCAGGAAATTAATTAAACATTACTGTCACAAACAGTAAAATTATGCTATCCCATTAACCAAAATATTAAAATGCAATCATAATAAATTTGATTTAACTTGTTCTAGTGAGGCAGGGCCTTAAATTCATGGAAAAGTAGAAGGCAATAATACACAATCTAAAATTCCATAAAATAAAATGAGAGAACACTATCCCTAAACAATTTAGAACGACCACAAGTCATTCCCTGCAGGAAAAGAAAACAGCCAGATAAAACTAAACATATCAACTCTCATGCACTACAAATTTTTCAAATGATTTACTGAATCAAATATGAAGGTCACAGCCAAACAATATGAAGCCAGTTAGAATACTACCAACTTATCCCAATGTATGAACAGCTAAGGCGGTCAAATAAGTTTCTTAAGTTTATCTCATCCAATCTAACCTACAGAGTCTAGACAATGAATTGAAGTACTTAAATCAAAACGATGTCCAAGTCCAGTTAATGCTTCAATAAACCGTGCTAACAATTACTTCCAAAGTTGCTCAGGAGAATTAGACAAATAGTAATCAACTAGCCAATGCACAATGATCCTTAGAGGGGAAGAAACTGCATGGCATAACATCAAATCAAAACATTCAACAAACCCTAGCCTTCAAAATCAAAACTCTTGTAACTTAAGTTATCTTGACAACATAAAATAAAACTTCCTCCCAAAATATTCATACTCACGTAGTTAAAATAAAATTTAGGAAAAAGTCCACTTGAGACCCTGACTTTTGAAAGTGTGCAATGTGACGCCTTATACTTATCAACATGTAAGAAGAATCTTTTCTATTGTAAAGACATCTAATTTCACCGTTCACGCATCCCGTGCACAGTTTTTTGGACAAAATACCCTTCCAAATTGCTAATCACTTGTGTTTTAGGGTTAGTGCCTGGCACCAGCTACTGTTACCTTTGCTTAGTGGAAGTGAACTTTTTTACCTTGGTTTGGTGCTTTGAGAGGTACACTTGACAGTTGAAACTATTAACAGTTTTACCAATTCTAAACCCAGGAACTACTGTGAATTCAACTTGTACCCCAGCAGTGGGTTTATTTGGTCGAGTGCAGGTTTGAATATTGGTAACCAAATGTACCCCAATCCAACCAAATAAATAACATATATAAATTATGTTGGGCCAAATTCCTCCGAAGCCCAAATTCATTACTCTTTAAACGCTTACCCAGTAGTTATTTTAAGGCATAAAAAAGAAAGAAGAAAACCCTAAACGGCATTGCCTCTTTGCTCCTTTCTTGCACCTCTGCCTCTCCGCAACTCTGAACTCATTAATCATTGTATCTCCCTCATCCTTCCTTGCACTGTTAGTTGTTGCTGTTGGTCTCTGCAAATGCTACTAATGTTGAGTATGCACTCTTCCATTTAGATATTGGTTTGTGTTTTCTATTTTCTATTTCCCTTCTTCCTTCTCACAGTTTTTTTTTTTTCCTTCTTCTAATGCCTCCATTCCCACTTGTCTCATTTTTGTGCAGAAATCTCTTCTATGAAAATCACCCAAAAATGACTCGGCAAAAAAGAGAAAACAAAGAGTTGGCACAAAAGTGAACCCAAAATGCATTAATCTACCTGAGAAAACCAAGAACCACCCAACCCAAAACCTGCATTAAATGATCAGCACAAGGTCAGCATCAACCTAGTTGTTGCCTATGTTGGTTAGCATTGGTTCTAAGTTTTAAGATCCAAACCCAAACAAAGCCCACCCCTACAACAAGATGAAAAAATGTACAGACTCAGCATTCCAAAATGCTTAGAGCTATTATTGAACAGGCCACACTGGTTTTAAGATTGGACACTAAAAAAATGCTTCCACAGACAAACCATTTAGTGTACAAATTTAATTTTCTAATTGGTTTATTATATCACACCAGCACAAAATGTAGAAAAAATGTGAATCCAATATATAAAATGGAAAAATAAACTAATTGCTATTGCTAACTATAGGCTCAATGAGGGAAGCTTACTGATGCAATGATAATGGGTTAAAAAATTTGCTTAAGCTTCAAGTGGGGAATGCTAAGAAATCTTTAATCGGCATGAATGAACAACCATGTGTAAAACATTGTATCCAGGGATTTGAGTGCATAGCAGAAATATAAAAAGTAAACCTTAACAACAATATAGAAACAAAATTCAACAAGAAGTTTGTTTCCTGCCGTGCTCAATGTAGACCTGCAACATTTAACAATCGAACAAATAAATTTTCATGGGCCAAACAGATAATATACATCCTGAAGTTGAAGAAGGACTTGTGTATCATCAAAAGTTACATCCATACTACCACAATGCACAGAGAATACCACAATCTTATTTTAGTTCATTCAACATCATAACAAGAGTAAATAATTGAAATGTTAGAGTTTGAACATTTTTTCATCTTATAGTAGGGGTGGGCTTCATTCAGGTTTGGTGGGGTAAACTCAGAATCGATGCTAACCAACATAGGCAGCAACTAGACCAATGCTGACCATGGGCTGAACGGTGAATGCAGATTTCAGGATGGGTGGTTCTTGATTTGCTTGGCTACATGGAAACTTTAATTACGAGACAGGGAGGCACTAAGATTACTTTATGTTCAGCCAGCTCTAAAAATACTTCAATAAATCACTTCATTCAAATGCTCAAGCTAATGTATGAAAAAATTCACAGCACAAAACTTCAAGATCAAACAAAATTAACTTTAGCTTTTCAAGGAATTTCTTAAACCAAAATGAGCAGAATTCCAAGCAGTCATTATTGAAGTTAATTTTGTTTGATCAGTTCTACATATTGGAAAGCAAAATAAGTTTGGCAAATTATGAGATTATCAACAACCCTGAATAACTATTGCAGAATACAAAAGAGAGAAAATTTAGAGGCCATCCAAGAACAGTGGTTTGCAACAGTTTAAAACAATATACAAATGAAAGTAATTGCTTTACAAAGTTAATGAGAAAAAAAAAAGCCATACACCAAATCAGAAATATTGTAGAGGAAGAAATTATATGCTTATAGACCCTGAAAGGCACTACCAATGACACAATAGAATATAAACAAAGATAAATAAACATGTAAACTCACCAAATAAAGGACAAATGCTTAAGACAATATATTCATACATCGACTGAAACACTAACAGCAAGGTTGTCAAAACCAAGTTTCAACACTGACACAGAAGGCGGGTGTAGGACCATTTCATTTAACACGACTCGTAAGTGTCAATACAGTATTTTAACACTAAGAAGTGTACACACAGAAAACCCACGTAACATAATTTGACAGGACAGCAACACAGAAAAACAGAAAACAAAAGAGAACCAGCAATAGAATGCATGTTTCGGGGGGTACTGCTTATTTCAGAGAGAAAATTCACTTTTTCCCAGGAAGCGTCCAGAAAAGGTGATTATTTCTCCAAAATATCAACCAAATATGTCTAGGTCTAACTATGAAAATCCCAAACAGTTAGTGATTACTAAAATTTAATTGTTTTTGACATGAGTAAAAGTGCCATAATAAGATGTTATTAAGACATTGTCCGATATCTGTATCTAGTCATTTCAAAAGCAAATCAAGAGTTCCACAGTCGAGCGTCAAAGTATGTGTCAACGTCCAACATGCATTGGATGTGCACAATCACACTGCATTTATCTGAAGTAGTGCCTCTTCTTGGGTTAAATAGAAATGAAAAGTATAAACATAGAACAAACCATAAAAATTTGTAGAGGACTGAGGATTCCATTACAAATGGGAATTCAGGGTTACCCAGATGATAAAATCAAAACAAACAGTTATTGACCAAATGGGTCCCCCAAAAACTATTCAAATTCATCAAATTTAGAGTCCCACGTTCCTCGAACAAACAACCAATTGACCAAAACCAAACCTCGACATACACACACAAAAAAGAAATCCTGCAATCGGAAGCAACTAGTAGGGAAGAGAGTACCTTAAGAAAAAGAGAGATAAAATGGACAAAGAAAAAGAGAAAGGTCGATGAAAACGCAGGCACCGAGCAAGTCCCTGTGTGGCTTTCTTTGTCTCCGATATATCCCTATTCCATTCCTAATAAAGTATTTAATTAAACTTTTGACAACACTTTTTAACGATATTTTAATTTGATCCTGAAACAAAATTAGTTTAATTGTAATGTAAATTTATTTTCAATTCCATTCTTATCATAACGTATAAAGGTCGAAATTAAGAAAATGCAATGATTAAAATTTTAATATTTAACTATTTATATAATCAATTAACTTAAGAATTAACTATAGAGGGTCAAGGTGAGACTTAAAACTAAAAACAATTAACTATTTAATTAGAGTTGATTTAGATATATTTTTTAAATTAAAATTACAACATGATAATTACATAATAACAAATCAAATTTACAAGAAGAGATTTCAAATCACATAACATATTGGGTGAAGCGTTTTGAATTGATGAAAGTAATGTCTAATTATCGTTGATTACTCCTGCCTCACGGATACCACGTAGGTAGTCACAGGTCGCTCAGTAAAGATAGTAGTCAGAGGTCTAGTCAGAAAGAGAGTGTGTGGCCAGTGGTGCATTCGTTCCGCAGTTGGTGTCACCACCACTCCCTCTTCCCAAGGTATTTCTACCGTCCTAATCTCCCACATCCCCAGTATATCGCTGAACCATTTACAACATATTGTAACGGCGCTAACACGCTCATTCACACATATTTCATTCACGCATGCAATGGTCATGCTAACACACGGCACACAGCCCACATGGCACTCAAATACACGACACTAGGCCCACATTCATTTCACATTACACGGCACATAGCCCACATTTATTCACAATATCATTAATTCACTAATCAATGACATTCCATCACACGCAATCACCCTCACGGGGTCCAATTATTCTATCACACATCATATTTGCTTATCAATTTCCATCAAACACACAATTTCTATCTTCTATCTCAGCCATATTGCATTAATCATCAAAACACACAAGAATTACAATACATTGAGATAGGGTAGAGTCCTCCCTTACCTCGGATAGAAGACCCACACGCTAAATCCACCAAGAGATGCTTCCCCTCACGTATTTCGTCCTAAACACATGGAGAAACTCCATGAGAACCCAGGGAAATCATGAAAACAGAGAAAGGGAACGAAAAACCAAAACCTTAACTATTAAAACTCTCCTCCAAGCGTTCCCCACACAACTCCAACCTTCAATCAAGCTCACGAATGGCTTTGGAGGCAATTTAATCGGTGAAAAAGGATTTGGAGACGAGAGGATCAAAGGGATTTCGAAGGGAGAGGGAGAAATAACTCTCCGCTTGTAACATCCTCGTTTTTCCTAAACAGTTAATTTGTTAATATAGTTATAATTTAGATTATAATTCTTCAATTTTTGGAAAAAAAAATAAAAAAAAATGCTCGTTTATACCGGTTAAAATTGCTCTATGAGGATAAAAATAACATTTTTAATCTAGAAGAATTATTTTAAATAATAAAAATTTATATTTTAATTAGAAATAATATTTGGAGTGTAAAAATAATTATTTTGGTAATTATTGCTTATTTTTGAATTTTTGGTTAATATTGTTTTATGTGTTCACAGGAACTGTGTGATTATTTTTTTTTTCTTTTCTTTTTCTTTTTAAGTGATAACCAAAGAGATATTGATGTCAAAAATTATGTTATAATTATTTTAATTGTTTGGCATAAATTATTTTTATTTTTGAGTTTATTCATAATTATTTTATTTAATTACATTAAAATAGTAAAATAATTGATTATTATATTATTATTTCTTTATCTATTTGACTAAATTGACCATTTTCTTACGTAAATCTTCTTCTTCTCCAAGTCCATAACCCCTTCTTCTCCCTTTCACCATTTTCATTTTCTTCCACTCATTTAAGCTTGTTTTAAGGTATGTTTTTAATATATATCCTTAATTAAGCTTAATTAGTTGTTAATTATCATTT